TATATATACTGTGTACACATATATATATATACTGTGTGTATATATTTTTTTATGTGAAACTTTTCTTTAATAATGCTAACTCAAACCCATTAGTCCAATTTGAAGGTAGGTAATTAAGTTGTTTTAAACTTTGAAGGCCTGAAAATAAAAATGCTCAAAATAATTTTAGTAACAAAATTACACATATCTTTTTATTGTTTTTAGCTTGACATAATATAGTTAATATGGCAAGATACTGACTGAATAAAATGAATAATACTTTAGTGTAATATTCTTGAGTATTAAATACACAAATTTCCTTTTGGAAACTCCCCATTTATAGACCGTTGTGTAACTTTTTTTTAAACACACGTTTGTAATTTTATGTTCATTAGAACACACTGCCTTCCATTCATTTCTTCAGCTCCACAGTAGAAATGACACCGTGTTCAAGGACTGGGTTTTGGTCCCCATCAGGATTACGGGTCCTGACATGCTGCTGATTGTACCAGGACAGGTCCTAATAGGTAACCAGAAGCAGGTACACACACGCTCTTTACTACACAACCAGAACATTCTCACGGTGAAACCGCTTGTGGTCCAACTACAAACCCTTCCTCTCAGCCTGCAGAGGCCAACATCTGCCGCGCTTCTTCTTATAGAAAAGGCCGTATAACTTTAATCCAGATGTGGCCTACGATCAGCGACCTGTCAGGATGTGTTTGCCTTTATATATTTAACAATAATGAATTAGTTTCAACAAGGCTGAGTCCAAACGAAACCACCTAAGCTCTGTTTTACTGTCTGCCACACCCAGATCAGGCTGTGCCTCAGCTTTAAACCTGCACACTGTCAGGCCTGAAACACTACTGTCTGACTTTACAAACACCATTAGCTTGCTTTTTTAAAAACTCACATAGGTTAAAATCCTGCAAACTCTGCTTTTTATGAGTCTAGTTTCAGGGTGTAACAGGTTTGCTGTGTACATGTTAGGAATGAGCTGGCCTCAGTCAGAATGGGACAAATTAGGAGGTAAAATGGAGGCAAAACCATGTTTCACCATGGAAAATACATGCATTACTGTGGATACTGAAGTGAGTTGTGTAGTGCCACACACAGTCGTATAAACAGTTACACACACACAGTCAGTTTACAACAGAAATCCTGGACTCAAGCTGTCAGAACTTGGAGGATTTGGACGGCCTCAGCCCGAACAGGATCTGGGTTTTGTTCGGCTGAAGGCTCAGGGAGGGGCCGCCGCGCACATCTGGAAACTTTCTACTCGAACCAAACTCAAGAGAAAAACCGAGAAACTTCGAACTCGCTCGTATTCAGCTTAGGAAACCAAAATTAAAAATTAAAAATAAAAATAAAAAAGCGCCCGAAATGCTAAGCTAGAAACTAGTGTCGCGTGCGTAAAGACATTAATCTGCGTACGAGCGGAAAACTCGGTTAAAAAGTTTTAAAGTGGAGACAGGAGCGTTTTCTTTTCTTATGTTTTTGCTTTAAAACATGGAGGAAAGTTGTTTTTACCTGAGGCATGTCGACTGCACGGAGTTGTCTTCCTCTGTGTGAGTGTGTGTGTCAGAGAAACACTGCGTCTGTCACCAGTTGCTCCTGGAGCCTCCCCGGGGTTGCCAGATAGGAAATGACATCCTGTCGCTTCAACTGGGCCAGCACACAGTCAGGTTCGGTGGGACTTTCTGACATGTCCATGTTCAAGTAAACATAAAGCAGTCTTACTTTGGTTTTTGGTGCACAGAAATCCCAAAGCTTTAAAACACATTCAATGTATACAAATAGATGCTAAAAAATATCGTATAAATAGAATCGCTACACACTATCTGGCAACGTGGGCTCTCCTTCTAAAGGCAGGTAGGAGGAGCTGCAGGCTGTCGCAATCCCACCACTTCACCACACAGACATCACAGCCCCTCTTCTTCAGCCCAAGCAGCTCAGTTACTCATGAGGTGACATTCCTGAGCTCACAATCATTAGACAGCTCAGTCCACATCTGGAAATGTTTAGGAAAGACTCTTTTTTTTTTTTTTGCGCAATAAGTGCTTGTTGCAAGTTTAGGCTGGTATTCTTCTTTTCTCCCTCCCTTCTTCCATCTTGACAATGTGGGGATCTCCCATGAGATAGTCAGTATGTAAGGAAGGGTTTGACATAAAAATGGACACAGAAACAAGCAGAGACAGAAACAGAGAGAGAAAAACTGGCAGAACCACATTTTGCTCTACCTGGTTCTGACTGACTTCACTGGGAGGGTGTGTTATATATATATACACACACCCACACAGGTGGAGAACCAAACTGTAGTTCATTATAGAGGCCCCCATAGTGTGGCCTTATCTACACTACGCTAAATATTTTCAAACATTAGATTTTTGTGCTGCTTCTGTGCCTCCTGTCAGCATATAAACAATGAGTTTCAGATAAAACATACATTTAAAAACTAAATCACAAAGGTTGTATCAGCCACAATCAAAAGGTGGACATTAAAGTGTATCTTACCCCTCCCCCGTGAAAAGATAACTCCGCCCCAAGGCGAAATTTGAAAAATGCATCAAAGTGGGTAGGAGAGGGAGGGTTAGAGAGCGGAGGTGTGGCCAGGACGAGAGAACGTGACAGGCAGCTAGCATTAGCATAATTGATGCTACATGGAGATTGACCACAGTATCGCAGATAGTTACATATCTGAACGGTCTGAGGTGGAGGATTTTCACCCCACACCAGCACCGGACAGAGGAGGAGGAGCGCTCCGACAGCCTGACAGAAAAAAA